ATGCAGGACCTGGGCAAGACGGACCCCATGGCGGTGAGCGACGGCACCGTCTGCGGGGACAAGAAGGTAAGCAAAGGCTCGCGGCGGTGTAGCGGTGGCCATGCGCGCCAGGAAAGGGTGCGCTTTTGGCAGCAGGGGCAGTCCCCGTCACTCTCAGATCCACGCCCCAGGCCGGCAGTGGTGGAGTGATGTTGGCTCTGGGGAGAGGGCCCTGAGTCTTGGCGCAGCCCCCAAAAGGACGGGCACGGTGCGGGCTGTGATTTCTAGCAACGGTGAATCGGGGTTCTGCCTGGCTTGTAGATCTGCATGAACCGGAGGTGCGTGGACGTTTCCATCCTGGGCTACAACTGTGACATAGAGGCCAAATGCAACAATCACGGGGTGAGTGCAAGCAGCACGTGTCTTACTGCAGGGAGCGACCCCGTTGGGGAGTCGCAGGCGCGGGCTGACCCCTGGCCTGCACAGTCTGGCAACGCAGCTGGCACGTGGTGGACATCAGTGAAAGACGGTGAAAGCCACTGTCCATCTCCCAAGCAGCTCGGGTGCTTCACGGGTTCCCTAGCCAGGGTGGGAGGAACTGCTGGCACCCCTGGGCTGAGAAGCACGGCGTCGCGCTGATATGGGCCTGCGCCCTTTGGGTCGGTGTTGAGTTTCTCTGGAGGGCAGTGCCCTGAGCCTTGGGCCAGTCTGCGAGGCCAGGAGCACAGCCGCATGCCACCTGGAATTGGTTCCGGCTCCAAACCCGCACTGCCTTCTTCACGGCACCTCGAGAAACGTGGGCTCAGGGAACCCTTGAGGCCTGAGCTGTGACGTGGATGCAGGGATGGGCTTGTGCACAGCTAGCAGACCAGAGATGGGGATGAGGAGGGATAGCAAAAGGATTGCCTGCAAGCACGGGTGGCGGGAGTGCCCCAGAGCTGGTGGAGCACAGGGGCAGCCTGCGACATGCCGCCTCGTTCCCCCTTCTGTCACGCTTGTCTCACAGGTCTGCAACAACAGAGGAAACTGTCACTGCGACTCTGGCTGGATGCCGCCCGACTGCACCATTAAGACGAAAGCTGGCTTTGGGGGAAGCATTGACAGCAACTTCAGAAGCGGTCAGTATTCCGGACACGGTCCTTTTCCTTCCAGACTGATGTCTGAAATGCTTCCCAGGGCAATTTCCTGACACGGATCCCACAGTGCAGCCGAGACACCCCATTAGGGGGCAAAGTGCGGCGAGAGAACCTCTTGTTGAACTGTGGTGGGGGAAAAAGGAGGGTAGCCCCCCCTTTCTTCTGCCCGCCAGAGCCCGTTGCAGCCATGCCCAGCGACAGCAACTCGGGAATTACTGGTGCGCTCTCTCGGCGTGCGGCCAAAACGTAGCCTCTCTTCCCCGGCCAGTGACCCCAGTGATGATGGTCCTGGCGCGCCATTGCCCGGTGTGAGTTGCTAGAGCATGTGGCAGGAAGCACCTTGGTTTCTCCCCAAAAATCTCTGCCCTGTGACACTGTGATTTAAATCTCTGTGCTGTGACCATTCAATTAGGGTGGGCCCAGCACACAGGGGACCACACCCTCAGCCTGGCTCTTTGGGGAACTGGAGCTGGCTGCATTCCTGAGGGAGGGGGAAACCTGCTCCCTCTGCTTACGTGACTTGCATCACTTACCTGGGTAAGGGGTTTCTACCTGGGGAGCTGGAATCTGCCCGGTAACAGGTGATGCATTTCAGATTGGTTGGCTGACAGCCAACTGGGGCTGACCTCCGCTGGCCCAGGTGAATGAGGTCACAGGGGCTATATAAGTTAGGACGGGGAAGGAGGCGGTCTCTCCTCTCCGGCCATGAGGTGACGCAGCAGCCAGGCAGGGGACAGAGAAGCCTTAACATCTGAAACTGGCTCTCTCCCCCCAAACTCACGAGCTAGGAACCGCCTGCCTCCAAAGGGAAACTTCACCTGCCTTTGGAAGATGCTTGTGAGTAAGCTACTCAATCTGATTAGATATTTAGCTGGAAGTATAACAGATGCATAATCAAAAGGCTACCACAGCCAGACTGTTTGCTCTTTAGGATTTCTAGATATTGCTCTATCCTGTACCCTAGTTTACCCTACCCCCTGTAATCAATAAAGTTCTCCTTTTTGACTGGTGTGGGAGACTTCTTGAGGGGTGGGTCTAAATTATGCCTAAGAGACCCCTTAGGTCTGTGGACTAAGGGAGACTATACCTTTTTGCCCCCGGACTTGGGGAAGTACCCCAAGTGCCTGTACTGGGTTGAGTACCCGTGGGACTTTAGGCCTGTGTTACCCCAAGGACACAGGGCCGCGAGACAGTCCATTCTTGGGGTGGTGGCGGCACGTTACCCCCAGACTAGCGAGTGTGCTCCGGGAGAGGGGTCGGCCGGACATAAGGCGCCCCTAGGGAGGCATTCGGAGCCTGGAAGGTGGTTGGGCGCAGGGAGGTGGGTGGCTCAACGCAGGAGCACCCCCTACTGGCCCGCCTCACGTGGTGGAAACAGCGGAGGGATACGAATACCCAGCTGTGTTCCTGAGGTGGGATCTCTGCACCCGCCACAGAGCATGCTAGGGCGCGTTGGGGCTTTTGCAGGCAGGCTGGCAGGGGTACCTGTACCGGGTCGAGCATGTGAGAAATGTGAGGTGCGCAGAGCTTGCTGTTCCCAGCTCCTGCGGCAGTGGGTGGCGTCAAGGTTACGGCACCCGCCCCGAGTAGAACTGGTCCGGCTGCGTAGGCGGCAGACCCGAAGGAGCCCAGCTCCGGGGCTGCCCTCAGCTGACAGCGGGGCAAGAGGCAAACCAGCCTTGGAACTTGCCAGCGGGGGCCCCGTCCTTCGTGGACAGCCCGCCCCAGAGCCGCACTCCCCTGGCCTTGGAGCCCCGCACCCTGCCCTGGCAGGTCTGTGGGAGCTGGGAGACCGCACGTTCAGGACCCGCGCTGTCAGTAACGATCGTTTCCTTTGTAGGTCCGATTGCCGACGGAGTCCGCACAACTGCCATGAGGAACTGGCTGCTGCTGAGCTGCTTTCTCTTTCTGCCGGTCCTGGTTGGCTCTGTCTTCCTGGTGATGAAGCGCAAGAAGCTGGCGCAGTGCTGCGACAAGGAGGAGCTGCAGGCTGACAAGTAAATGGGTCTGTTTGTAGGGGAACGGTTGGCATTTGGCTCAGGGATCTGCCTGGGCCTGGGGGAGGCACAGGAGGGCCGTAGCTGGGTGGCATGCCGCAGGAAATCCCCCGCTGTGGAGAAGTCCGGGTGAGACTGCAGGGCCCTGGGCCAGGGCAGGGAGCCTCAGCCAGCGTCTGGAGCGCTTCCGCCATCTTTTGCCCTGAGGGCTTAGTGGAGGGACGGGAGGAGGTGTCTGGGCATGACGGGACTGCAAAGGTGGGACGAGCCGTAGCCGAATGGTAGGAGCCCACGGGCAAGATGGATCAGAACGGCAGAAGTGGGGCTGGCAGCTCAGCCTAATGGGAGCGCGTTAGGGCAGGAGGCGCGCCCAGTGGGGCAGCCATCTCTGACTGGGCTGCCCCATGCAGGCCTGGCAGTGGTAGAGGGCTGCAAAACAGCAGGCTGAGCAGAAACTGTCAGAGCAGCGAAAGGTAGTTCGCCCTTCGTTTCATAGGGCTGGTGGGATGGCTGCTGATGTAGGCTTCCCCAGCCTCCCTGGACAGCTGAGACGGGAGACCTGCGAGTGTCACAGTGGATATGCCAAGCCTTGCGAGGCTGTGGTGGGTGTGAGCCTGCTGCACTGAGAGGGCAGGTGTTTGAACCTCGTGCCCCACGAATTGACACAACGCCCGGCAAAGCCATAGCAGAAAGGCTTTAATAACAATGCAGCCAGCATCTTATAAAACCAAAAGGCAGAAAAAGACTCTTTCCCAAACTAAAATGCACTACTCCACAGAGTCCTAGCACACGTTTAGCAGCGGTAGCGTTCTCTCCCCGAGGCCAGCGAAGGAAGCCGGTCCAGTCTGGCAGCCTGTATCACGCAGGACCCGTTGCTGGTTAAGCCAGGTGCGATGCAGCAGCGATGTCTCTCTGCTTCTCCTGGAGCGCGTGCCTCGCTGGCAAATTCTGAGGTCTTAGCCTATTTCATTGTATCGCTCAGAAGCCCTTTTCCTTGATGGCTGGCTGATTAGAGTCCGAACAAAAGGGGAGGAAAGGGTGTTGCTCGCCATCTCATAACTGTCAGTTGCTGGGCTCCCGTTCTTGCATTGTGTAGGGGTAAAAGGTGTGCATCTCTGCAGATCCTGTCCTTGTAGGTCGGTTTACAGGCAATGGGCCTGAGCAGTCGGACAGGATGCTTAGAGGTGTCAGTCGGGCATGTTTGCAGGAGCTCGTACAGACGGTGGTTTGTTTTTCAAACCCCCCCGCACACTTGGAATGGGTCAGACATTTTTAGCACCCTGTACCTTAGGGGGTTTGTCACGTGCAGGACATCTTCCCTGTCTCTTTTACAGGCTTCTCTTCAGCTATCTGTTTAGCCTTTTGTTTCCTCTAGCTGCTAGGTCCATTGAGATGCATCTGTCGCTTTTCTGCCTTGGCTCCTGAGACACACGCACACACACGAGCGCATGATGAGCGGGTCGGTTCTCTGTGAACCATCTCCTTGGCGTGACCTAATCTCGCACAGCGAGTGAGACCGAGTGGGGTGGCTCTATTCGGTATGGTCCTGGCTGCCCCTTGGCATTTTTGCTCGAGAAGCGCTGTGCTTTTCATGTGGTGGCCAAGATTTGAAGTGTAGGCCTGGTCGAGCTGTTGCCATACTCACCATCAACAAGCAAAGGGCAGGTGTGATAACGATTAGGCACCTTATGGGTCTGGGAGCTGCCTTCCTTCTTGAAGGGCACTGAGGGTAGTCCTCGAGGGCCAGGGCCTGTAGCTGGAGCTGCCGCTCCCCAGAAAGCCCTCTCCTTTCCCATGCGGGAACTCAGGAAGGATGCTGAAACCTGGGAGCGGAGGAAAGCTGCTTCCCTGTACAGGCCCGCAAGCTGCAGGGTGTATGCGGGTGAGTTCCCAAATAGCCATTGGCTATCCCGACACGGTCTGAAGAGCCACTCGAGTAGGGGAAGATATGCCCGTGCGTGCAGATTCGCCAAGGGTGATTAGCCAGCCACGGGCGACTAGCAGACAGGGCCAGAGGCTCTCGTGGATTTTTGCCCGCGCTGCCAATGGCAGCACAGAGGGTACTGCCATGCCCCAGGGTGGGGTGGAGCTGCCCAGACGCCCCTGGTCCTCATTGGCTCCCTGCGGCATGTGGGTATGGCTCTGTGGAAATGGGAAGGAGGGCTAGACACCGGCAGGAAATTCCCCAGCCGGGCCCTCGGCCCCGGGGAGCAGCATGAATGCCACCCTCTCTGGGGAAAAGTCTGTTTGGAAAGTAAGAAAGCTGCCCACAATCCCCCCTACACCTTCTGGTAGCGAGGTGACAAGCCCGGAGGGCACCCGGACATGGGGAGGCTGAGGAAGAGGATCGTGAGATGCATGGGGAACGGCGGGCGGATATGTAACGCTGTGGCCCAGGAGCAAGGGCATGGGAGAGTGCCCATGGCTAAATATAATGGGCGTGATAGTGAGTTGTCTTTCTGTAAGTTTGAGACGGCGTAGGACACGCATCCGGTGCCCGATTTACAGCCTTTGCGTCTTTATTTCTCAATGCAGCCTAGAAGACGCGGACAAGCCAGGAGATCCCAGGTAAATGTCAGCTGTCTAACGGTGCTGTAGGCCTAGAGCGCTGGTTGCTTTGCTGTTAGTATGTGGCAGATGGACGTGTCGAAAGCTTTGCTCGGGGGCTAGGCGGTTGCCTTCTCAATCCAAAAGATGCCGCTTTGATCCTGAAGGTGAGGGTGAAAGGGACTGCAAGTGTGCAAGCCTTTGGCCCGCTCTGGCCGACGCGATGCCTGCCACGTGCAGTCCAAGAAAACAAGGTGTAGAAACGTCGGGAGTGCCTAGAGCGAGCTTCTCGCGTGCGCGGTAGTTTGCCGTTGCCAACCTGCTGGCCTAGCGCTGTGCCCTGGAGCCTGGCAGCAGCAGGGCGTTTACATCCTTGGTCTGTTTGCTGCAGGGCGTAGCCCGGAGGAGCTGAGGGCCCGTGCTGGGAATTTCTAGAAGCAGACAGTATGAGCCAGCAGAAAACCCAAGACGTGGTGTTTGGAAGACGGGCCGCGAGAAGGATGGAGCGGCCCCGCGGGGCTTCCTGCAGAAGCGGGTGCCTGTTGTTATGAGCGGGCCTGGTGTATTTTCTCCTGAGTGGGTGCCGCAGCTTTGCACGGGGCGTGTGTTTTGCTGCGAGTCCCAGTGGGAGTCGGTGGGGGTGTCT